AAAAAAAAAAAAAAAAAGAACCACAAGGGGTTAATCTCTCAGACACACATGTTGATTTTGCTCACCATAAGATGCTGAAAAAGCCAGGAGCGCATAATATTGGTAGCATGTTTTGGGAGGACTCCTCGTTTGTTCTTTGACTTTTTATCTTCACTGTCAAGAAGAGTGGTCAGGTCCAGGTTAACCTGCAGGGCAGGCAGAAGAGAAAGAAAATCTTCAACAACAATGCAGGTTAAAAGAAAAAGAAGAAGAAGAAGAAGAAGGAGAAGAAGGAAGCAGCCTGAGTTGCCATGGCAACACGGCTGTCAATGTTAGTCCCATTTAACGGTGGCTTCCAGGAGGGCCTGAGACAGTGTGGTGAGGGACAACAGCACAACTTTAAGAGAAAGTGACGTTCATTTGAAAATTAAAGAGGGGGGGGGGAGGTGGTAGCCTTTACTTCAAGAGGGAATCAAAACAATCTCCTTGGGTTTTTTTTTTAAAGGCAAGATTGGAAAACAGTCAGATCTCATTAACACGTTTTTGTCATCTGTAGAACCTTGATGGATAAAGACTAGCACTCTTCCATCTAGGAGAAACTTTAGTTCTCACTTTGCACTAAGCCCATCAGTTAAGTTTCTTTGGGGTTGACTTAAGAAGTAAATGGGATCCCAGCCATTTTAACCTACCCAACAAACCATGGTTAAAATGAACCATGCTTCAGCTTGATGTCTAAATATGTAGATAGTTGAAGCAAGCTTATGAAATCCTGGACTTATGAATCCTCTATTTGAAAGATAGAAAAGCCATATCTCCACTATGTTCTTTGTTACCTACTAAAGTGAGATCTGGTCCCGGACTTTGGGGCAAGAGGATCCAAATGGGAATGTCTTCCATTCAAAAGTTTAATCCTGTATTAACTTGCACGTGAGTTGATCAGGTTTCAAACTTTCCCAATGGTTACACATAACCCTATCAAATTACCAAACCTATTTTTATGCCAGGCATTGTATTGTGTCAATGACACTGTCCATTTTTTTGAAGGTGGAGTCCTTCTGCTTAAGTCTTAACTTGATATAAAGAACACAGATCTTTCCCACTAGTTGTTAGTTATTGAAATGAGAGGAATTCTAACTTAGGTATAGGTATCTCTTTTTTTGTTTGCACATTAGGGGCCAGGAGGTTAAAACATATGAAGAACAATTACAAGAATTATAAGCATGGCTAGTCTAGTGAAGAGAAGGACCAGGGGAGACATGATANAAGATTGTCTTTAAGCATTTCAGAATGTAGACAGAAGAACATTTTTGCTGGATCCAAGTGGTGAGTTTTGAATTTTGCTTCTAGTTCGAATAGCTAGGTGTCATTTGATAGCTTTTAAATCGGACAATGTGAAGACTTGTTCTCCATATCATGCTAACATGGAGCTTCATCTAAACATCTTAAGAGATCTTTCTTGATTAGTGGATGAACTAAAGTTGTACAATTAGAAGGCAACAGATGCAGTTTGGAGAATCACATTTATATAATCAAGACTGGGATGCAAGCTAGGTTAACAAGAAAACAGATTTAAATTGGCATACAAAATTCTTTCCTGCACAAGTACAGTGGCACCAAAACTTAGTGCTGTATTGATGTCCTCTGGTGATTCTCAAAGTTTTCTAGCAAACTTAAAGATTCTATACAGACCAATAGATTTTTTAATAGATGGAGGGATGTTTCCTAAACCAGATTTTACATCAAAATTAACATACACAACTCCTACCTTTTCTTAAAACTGAAGGTGAAAGGAAACAGTCTTGTGCAGTGACAATAACTTTTCAAAAAATAATTCTTGAAGCAGAAGAAAAATTTAATAGGGCACTATAAAAATTGTAGTCTGTTTAAAAATATTTGGAATGCAAATTGAGATTTAAAAATTCTTATGGATGTTTAGGACAAAACTTGGTAAGAGCGCTCGGAAGCTTTAAGATTTGTCTCAGGCAGAATTAGAAAAAAATCACTGAAACTAATATATAACATTCAAATATTATACCAATTATATCACATGCATTATACCAAATTTGTATACCAAATATACCAAGGATATTTATACCAAAACCATCAAGATTTACTGGACATCTAAGGATTGCTGAGAGGAAGGTGGTAACATTGAAACAGACTAGGACATGGATGGACTTGTCCGAAGATCCATCGGTTTTAGAAATGATATTTTTTGGATACTTGTATGCTTAATACCATAGCTTTATAGTTTGCAGCTTCTATAATACCAGTTTAAAAAAAAACTTAAACCAAGGCTTTAGCATTCCTTAACTAGCACAATATTTTGGTATCTCAGATTTTACTGCTTATACATTTTAGCAGTTCAGCTTTTAAGTATTGTAGGCATTTCTAGAATTTTAGCGTTGGAATTTAATATTCTCTGCTAGAGAGAAGCTCTCTGAGGATGGACTCCAGCATGAATCCGAAAGCTTGGAAGACAAAACCTCTGATCCTGGTGACTGACCCAGATTGGATCCTAAATTATTTTAATTTGTATAATCTGTGCAGACATTTTCTCTTTATTTTAGGGTAGCAATAAAGGCCTCAGCATTCTGGCACCCAGTCCTTAATTGCCTCACGCTTTCTAAGGAAGGGAGGGAAAATCCATAGCTTTGTACAAAGAAATCCTACAAATTTGGAGAAAAATAAAAGGGGAAAATAATTCTGAATCTTTATTACTCCTTTAAAAAGTGAACAGAAGGAAGGATGATCTTAAAATAACACTGTCTAACCCATTGATTCAAAATCTTCTCCAACAAGGTTACTGCGCATAGAAAGTCTCATATTATTGGAATGGGGGATTTTGACAATCTTTACACAATTCTTTGAGTAGCATCCTTGTTTTGGACGCTAGATGGCAGATGAAGTCCTAAATATAAGCGTGTAAGTTAATTCCAAATGTGGGGAAATTTTCCATCTGAGGATTTTGATTAAGAAAAGAAAAAAAAAGAAAGAAAAGAATTGGTTCTTTCACTTTGGAAAACTGTCGGCTTGGATGCAGGATGTAGAACTATGTAGAGAAGTATTAGCGAAGAGTGAAAATAGGTTAGGGATAATTTTTTTTTTCTTTCTAACTTTTGGATCAGCTGAAAAGCATTTGGGATTGAGTTGCATCTGGCTGACCCAGAAACAACTAGGACAGGCGTATTGTGTTGAAGCCAACAATCAAGGGAGTGAACAATATAAACAATGTCTTTATTACTTCACATAATGTGACCATCGGATCAACCCTTTGGGGCAGAAGCCCAGGGCTTACTCTGGAAGCAATGGCTTGCTGCATTTTGAAGCAGTGCACTCAATTTATATTGCCATCTAAATGAGTAACCCCAAGGCCATTAAACCAGGAGTTTAAAAGTGGTAACTGCACTGCTAGTTTTATGCCAAAATGGCATATAAGTTAGCTGGGAGTGGCTCTCTTGCACCGGGGGTCACTCAAACAGTTAAAGCAACCATTTGGCCACAGAAACAATTTATGAGTGATAGAAGGGGATCAACATTTAATGACGGAAAAATCAGAATGCAAGCGTTGAACTGCATCACGATGACCTTGGGAAGCTTATTCAAGGCAAGGGCAAAACTTCTTGCTCTCACTCTGATGACTCAGCAGTTAAAGATGTTGAGCTTGTTGGCTGGAAAGCTAACAGCCCAAGTTCAAGTGTCACGCAATGGGGTGAGCTCCCATTCCTGCCCCAGCTCTTGCTCACCTAGCAAGTTCGAAAGCATGCAAATGCAGGTAGATAAATAGGTACCACTTCAATGGGAAGGTAAAAATGCTATGTGCATCTTTGGTGTGTAAGCATGCGGACTACATGACCATGGAAAATGTCTTCGGACAATGCTGATTCCCTTGAGTAAGAAACAGAGATGGACCCAACTGGACAGGGGGCCTGTACCTTTTTTTTTATTATGTAGCTAGGACAGATTGATAGGGTCTTTATGTTTTCTAATCCACTAGGATCAGCTCAGGAAAATGTGTTATTTGAAAACCATGGAAGCCAAGTTGCAGATCAGGAAAAACAGTAATAAGGCTGGGAAAAAAAACATCATCAAGTTTCCATGAAACCTCTTACTTTCAAAAAAATAGTCTGAGTTTCAAACTTTCATTGGTGAGAGAAATTGGTACTCCCTGACTTCTTATCGCAGGTAAGAGCAGCTGCAACGATGGAACAGGGTATTCCATCCGTCAGTCAGTGCCCACTGGCGACTACGCGGAGGAGAGCCTTCTCAGTTGCAGCTCCGACGCT